ATATATATATATATTCGATTGACTTGTGTCATCGATGGAGCGAGGTCATGAGTGTCCCTGCAGCCACAAATCGATACACACAGCGTGATGTATGAAATGCACTCGGTTTTCAAAAGATCACAACTGAACACGTAAGGGTTATAAAAAAAAATTAAAATCCAATAGTCACATATTGTCGCGTGTCTAACACTGTATACAAAATAGACACTTGTACGTTATCTCGTTTTCAGTCGAAAATGTGCTTTTCAATTATCTTTACACTAAATGCCCAACTTTCATCAATAAAGTTGTTTTTATTTATTTTTTTATATTATTATTTTATTGTATAGTTTTTAAAAAAAAGAGTAGATTTTTAAGAAAAAATTTTGAAAAAAAAATTATATGAAAATTGAACAATATTTTTTCATTTGTAGAAATACATTAATTATTTATAAAAATTGTTTACTGTGAAAGGAATGTTATGAATTTGTGTTGTGAACACCAAATATAGACACTATATTGTCTTAATTTTAATGGGTGAAAATTCGTTTACTAATTTAGTGCAAATTTTCAATAATTTTTAGTAAAATATTACTAATTTATTTAGTGCTATTACAAAAGTTTTTTTTTTACAAAAGTTTTAGTAAAAAATAATTAAAAATTAGTAGAAACTTTAACTTATAGCAAAATAACTACTACTTTCTTTAATAATATTTTATTTACTGAATTTTTTTTTTACTATGGTTTTAGTGAAAAATAATTAGAAATTAGTAGAAACTTTCACGAATTTTTAACAAAATATTACTATTTTATTTAGTATTTTCTTTACTAAATTTTAGTGCAAAAAAAATTGAAAAATAGAATCTTTCACTAATTTGTAATTTTTAGTACAATTTAACTATTTTATTTAGTATTTTTATTACTAAATTTTAGTGCAAAAAAATTGAAATATAGTAGAATTTTTCACTAATTTTTAGAGAAATATTAGGTACTATTTTATTTAGTAACGTTTTTTACTAAAATTTTAGTGAAAAATTATTAGTAGAAAATTTTAGTAATTTTTAGCAAAATATTACTATTTTATTTAGTATTTTTAATTAGTATTTTTTTTGTTAAATTTTAGTGCAAAAAAATGAATAAATATTAGAATCTTTCATTAATTTTTAGCAAAATGTTTAAAAAATGTTCAATATTTTATGTAATATTTTTATTTAGTATTTTCTATACTAAATTTTAGTGCAAAAATAATTAAAAATTAGTAGAAACTTCCAGTAATTTTTAGCAAAATGTTACTATTTTACTAAGTAATTTTTTTTAAGTTTTAGTTATAAAATGTTTAAAAATTAGTAGAAAGTTTCAATAATTTCTAGCAAAATATCACAATTTTATTTAATAATTTTTTTTTACTGTTTAATTTAGTAATTTTTTATTTACTAAAGTTTTTTTTTTTACTAAAATTTTAGTGAAAAATAATTAAAAATTAGTAGGAAATTCTCACTAATTTAATTTTTTAGTAAAATATTACTATTTGATTTAATTTTTTTCAACTTTTTAAATATTTTACTAAAATTTCAATGAAAAATTACTAAAAATTAGTAAAAGCTTTCTTTAATTTCAATTAATTAACAAATTCTCACTAATTTAAATTTGAAGAATAATTTTCAAAAAAAAAAATTACGAAATTAGAGTACATTTTTTTTGCCCCCCAAATTTAATTGAAAAATCAGGTTTAGATAATAAATATTTAATTGTATGGATAACAAGAAAATGATAGCTTAAATTTTGTATAACGACACTTGGTATATCTAATCGTGAGTGCATATAGGAGGGATATTTCTGCTATCAACATTATTATATGAACATGCGTATATTCATAGAGATGTGAACGCTCATAGTACGGTCATGTGTAACGATAATTAATTCATGTCTCTCCTAATTGGGGCTGCAATTTATTTTTGTTCATGACAAATACCGAGAGAATCGTGCTCCGTTCACTATGTAATACCTATATACATATATACATAATCGAATAGATAATTACTTGAAAAGTGATATTTTTACATATATATATAAATATCGATTTCTCTATTCAAAATTAATTATTAATAAAATTTAAACATAAACCACTCAATAAATGTCTTTCCTTTCATATTATATCTGAAAACTATTTACAGAAACAATCAATAAAAGTCAGATTTTAATTATTAAAAATTAATAAAATAAAAAATTAATTACAAAAAAAATTATAACTTTTTTCATAATTAACAATTTAATTTAGTATTTTTTTAATACCTACAATTTTTTGAAAAAATAAGAAAAAAAAAATTGTTTTTTTTCTTCTTAGAGAAATTATTCATGACAGTCAATTTACCATTTTTTTAGCGGGAAAACAAAAACAGTAAAAAAAAATACTTGTGTCACAACTTTAATAATGCATTCTTCAATATATATATATATATATCTGCAGTTTAATAATTAGTTTTCAGTGAAGTTTATAACTCGTAGTTTCTTTAGGAAAATTATGCAAAATACGTTTAAGGCAGAGGGTCTGCCTCTTTGTGACAATTTTTAATTCTTTAAAAACTTAAAACGCTCTCTCAAGTTTCTTACGCAAAATGCATAAGTAATTTTTTGTGTGAACAAATGTAAGGGAGCATGTAATATATTTTTTTCTAATCAACTAAATTCGTCTATTATTCAATTCCAACGTTTAGTTAATACAACGGTTTAAATTACAAAAATCTATTATGATTATTATTATTATTATTATTATTATTATTTATTATTTTTGTTATTATATTTTCTTGTTACTTTATATAATAAAAATAATAAATGTAATTAAAACAAATTTTATTTTTAAAAATTACTTTCTAAATTTTTCTGTTCTCTTTTTTTTTTTTCCTGTAAAATAAACGGAGGATTTAGAAAATCATTAATTACAAATTGGTCAGATTGTGAAAGATGTTTTTGGATAAAATCGAATGTTCGAAATTCCCAAGGGAGCATTCGTGTGAATTGCAATGGGCACAATACACTTTATGGTAGATTCATTTTGAAAAGAAGAACGTATTTTGGGGGACTGGGTGAACGTTTTGTAATTAATTACAGGTTAAGGTGCTTCTTTTATTGACCTTCGTTATATACGCGAGAGGATCGTAAAAATTCACCAAAGTGTGAGTATAACTTCTTCTCTTTTTTTTTTTCTCCATTCTTTTATTTCTTCGTATTTTTTTCTTTCGTTTTGTCTATATATATATATATATAGTCGATTTCGAGTGCAAATGCCGATTATCCATCCAAGTATAAAAGCGTCAGCATTTTGCCAGTGAAAATAATCTCTTTTCAAAGTGCAATTCAGTACAATATTCAATTGAACAGATGATTCATTTTTATATACACAAAGCCTTCGGAAAATTTGTTCCCAATATTTAAATAATTTTTTTTTCTTTCATTCTTCATACTGTATAAAGATGTTTGAACAAAGCATTCGGCAAAAAAAAATGGTTTTCAATTTGCCTTTAAAATATTTCCCATTCATGATTTAAAAAAAAAATCTCTCTATTGTTTTTATATAGTGAATTTGTTTTTCGAATAAACACTTTTTTTAATTGATAGAACTATCTATCTTGAATTATTGCCAAAAAAAAAATTTGAATACAAAATTTTTTAATAATAATAATATCGAGAGTATTTAATTTAGTGAGTTAGAAAATAAACTGTGCGAGAATGAGTTGTTTCTATTCAACTATGTCGTTTCATTCGTTTCCTCACCTCGGTATTCTGAATGTTCATTTGAGTAATAAAGAATAATTTTTCGCGCGGCGACGCTGAATAATTATACGCCAGGCGAGTTTCCGTCGTAAATAAAAAGAAACGTTATCGCGAGCGCTTTAAATCACGACGCTCCACGTTTCTCACTATCCTTCTTTTTTTTCCATTTTTTTTTTTTTTTTTTTATTTTTTTGCTCCTCTTTGTTCTGATTTTTCATCTCCTAATATTGTACATTTAACATTTGTGAATTTCGTTTGTCTCTTTTAGGTATGGCACACGTTCTCGAGATTTGTAATTTGAATTAAAAACGGTAAATCACACAAGTGTGATATGTCTCCAAAGGCAAAATTATACACTGGAAAAAAATTATTTGATATATAATTAAATTAAATATTTTTATTTTTATTTATGAAATTTTAATTCTCTTAATTAAATTATTATCAAGTAAATATTTACCCGACTGTCGGAATTTACAAATTTCTCTTTTATATGAATTTGCTTATATTTCACCAAAATTGTCCCCATTCAAATTAATTGATTATATAATTCTCAAATTGACTAAAAGAATAATTAATACGATTCATTTATTAATTTTTATCACCCAGTGAATTTAAGTGCCGTTCTTTTTTTTATATACATTTGCCCTTTAATATATCATGAAAAATTCATTTTGAAACATCTACTATTTTTCATTAACGATAAAATGTATTTTTGAACGTGCGCGCAATAAATTAACCGAGACACAAATTATAAAGTGGGCAAATATAGTATAATTGTATTTGCAAAAACAAATTAGAGTATATGAGATTCGAAATTTTAGAATTAAACAATTTTTCCACTTGTTTCATTTCTTTTTATCTACTCTCTCTCTCTATAAAAAAAAAAAATATATATATATAGATTCTGGTACAAAATTTTATATATGCTCATGACAATTTTTTATATCAGTGGTTTACGAATGAAACCTACGAAAATGAAGTTAATTACATTTAAAAATTTGATACGTAGAATAAAATTTCACACGTCTCTTGATGATGAGAAAAAAATTTAAATATTCATTAAAATGAATAAAAAATTTGTCAATCCCCCTCGTATATCTTTATTCGTGAAAATTAAAAAGTTCTATAAAAGCATTAAAGATAGAATGAACATGATGAAAAATTACAAAAGATATATATTTTTTTTTTTTGATTTCAGAAAAGTGAATTAAATATTGGAATTATATATTTCTTTTTTGTCCTTGTTACAGGATCCGATATAAAAGCACCGATAGCAATTTTGAATTGTCTATTCGCTCGACAATTGTGCTTCGACGATTCATCATGCAGTGCCATTTTGGAAATAATACCACGTGTCTGCGGTCCAGAATTAGGTGAGTCATTCAATTCACGAATTTTTCATTTATTAAAAATCATTTTTTTATTAAACGTTTTGAAAAAAAAAATTTTTCTTTTATTGAATATTTTGTTTATTCTTTAAAAAAAAATTGTAAATATTGAACTTTTTATAATTAAAAAAATTATTTTGTGAATTACAATTTTCTTTTAAATCTTAGCTTCAAATTTAAAAAGGGAAAAGAAACATGTATTTTTTGTTATACAGGGAAAAAAAAATTCATTTTGATTCAAATACTCAATTACTTGCCTATTATCAAATAAATATTTGAACCAAATAATTTTTGATTTGAATTAAATAAATTGTATTTAAACCAATAATTTCTGTATTCAAAACAAATACCATTGCAAATAATAATTATTTGATTACAAATAAAATTTTATAATAGTCAAGTAATCGATTATTATTTGAATCAAAATAAATTTTTTTTTCAGTATAAGAAAATTATATGTTTGAAATATTTTATTTACATGAGTTTAGCATTTAAATTAAAAAATAGAGAGAAAATGGTGTAAATATTGCATGAAACTTGTGCATTTTACCGTTACATTCGAGCGAAAAGGTGGTGGGGTAGGGGTGAAGGGGGTAACACTTTGAAAATGTTTTTTGGCTTCTTCGAACTCCTGCGGGAAATTCGAACGAAACCACCTGGATTGTCGAATTTCTCGTTACCCCGAAAATCTTACATGGTGTGGTACGTGCTCTCGTTGAAAATCACATGGAATTCTTCGAGTCTCTCATGGGACTCGTATAAACTCATACAAACTCAGTTCATATAAAAAAATTGCTACCACTTCTTTCGTTAAATTATTACCAAAAAGCACAAAATGTAACATACACGAATCTGCGAGAAGAGGTTTTATTCCCCTCCCCACTCTTGTTTTTTTTTTTTTTTTTTTTTTTTTTAAAGAATGCAATTTTTTTTCTCTCTCGACATACAATATTAAACAAGAAACATTTTTTACTTAAAAAATTTATTTGATTCTAATAATTGCTTACTTGACAATTATCTGACCCAGGTGAAAAAATTAACGTTACTAACGTTACTAAGGTTACTGACATTACTAATGTTACTAACGTTAGTACCTATAAAAAAAATTAAGAGTTTCTAAAATATATTTTCACAGAAACTTTGCCACTACTTTCCCATTACCACTTTCACTTCCACTTAAACTTTTTATAATTTTCATTCCCATTTCCACTTATTCTTTTTCTAATTCTCATTCGTACTTCCATTCTCACTTCTACTCTTTCTAATTCTCATTCCCACTTCACTTCCACTTTTTCTAATTTTCATTCCCATTTTCACTTCCACTTTTTCTAATTTTCATTCCCATTCCTATTTCCACTTCCAGGTTTTTATATTCATTGCCACTACCACTTTTTCTAATTCTCATTCACACTTTCACTTCCACTTGTTCCAATTTTCATTCCCATTTCATCTTTTACTTTTTTATTTTCATTACAACTTTTTTATATTTTCACTCCCACTTCCATTTCTAATTTTTTAAATTTTCATTATCACTTTCACTTTTTCTAATTTCCATCCATGGTAATTAAAAAAAGTGAAAATGGTTGTGTAAATGGAAATTAGAAAGAGTTTTAGTCGAAATGGCAACAGCTAATGAAAATTAGAAGTGGAAAAAATGGGAGTAGAAGTGGGAATGAAAATTAGAAAAAGGGAAGTGGGAATAAAAATTAGAAAAAGTGGAAGTGGTAATGAAAATAAAAAAGTGAAAGTGGAAGTGAAAGTGGAAATGAGAATTAGAAAGAGTGGAAGTGGGAATGGAACTGCGAATGAGAATTATAGAAAAAGTGAAAGTGGAAACGGTAATGAAAATAAAAAAGTGGAAGTGATAATAGAAATGAAAATTATAAAAAGTGCGGGTAAGAACATTAAATACTTCCTGGTGGTCGATTTTCGACAAGTTTCTGCAAAAATACAATTTAGAAACATTTTCTTAATTTTTTTATAGGTACTAACGTTAGTAACATTAGTAACGTTAGTAATATTAGTAACGTTAGTAATGTTAATTTTTCTACCTGGGGAATTATCTAATATTTATTTATGTCAAAAAAATATTTATTTGTATTAATTAATTGCTATTTCAAGTAAATATATTTATTTGTATTAAATAAATATTTATTTGTATTAGATAATTATTTATTTGTATTAAATAATTATTTACTTGCATTAAATAATTGTTGTGTCAGGAAAATATTTATTTGAGAATAGTCAAGTTAACAATTATTTGAATCAAATAAATTTTTTTTCAGTCCAATATAAGATTGTATTAAGTCAAACAAAATGTATTCGAATTTTTAGTAAAATATTGTATCAGTAGAAAAATATAGATTTAGTCAGACAAAATGGTATAAATTCTACTACTTCTGATATTCAGTAGTATAATATAGTATTAGTCAGACAATAAACTTTAATTTCCACTGTTTCTGGTGTCAGTAGTATGATATAGTTTCAGTCAGACAATATGGTTGTTAGTTTTTTTTTTCAAATTCAATTATAATAAAAAAGTAGTAAAAAAACAAAATCAGTAGTAAAATACCATTATAGTCAGACGAGTTTATTCTGTATTCTTGAAAATTTTTTATATTAGTAGTATTTTTTATTTCCAATTAAAGACACTTTTTCTCGGTAAAAAAAAAAAACTATTTAATACGCAATTACGAAACTTTTAATAGGGTAAACGTATAATGTATGATACTAGTTTTTTTTAACGTATTATTATATAGTATAGCAACCCAAGGGAAAAATAATGGTCGCTCGTGTATGAATAATGAAAATCGACAATATCGAAGACTAAAGGGAAAGGCACGTGTTGAAAATTGCAAATGCTAGAGAGCTATAAAGAAATTAAGCATGAAAAATGCGTTTGACGTCATATGACGTCCGAGTATATGCGGCAATAAGGTTGGAAAAGAGGGGAGTGAGGCGGAATGAGGGGGGGAGGGAGGGGTAAAGGGCACAAAAGGTCGAGAGTAGCCCCAAAAAGAATATTCATGGCTATCATAAAGAGGTTTTGACCACCTGGCTTCCATAATGCGACTCATCCATCGACAACTTTCGGTTGACCTATCTTCATGAAAATTTTTGGATGAAAAAGCCTTGCATCCTACGTGTTTGCAGGTGAACCGGAAACTGTGTATATGGTCGGATCGATATTACCATTCGTTCCGGCTCTCTCTCTCTCTCTCTCTCTCTCTCTCTCTCTCTCTCTCTCTCTCTCTCTCTCGCATATTCACAGACGGACAGTTATGAGTTACACTATCATATCTGTGAATATGAATTTATATCAATCTTACTCTCACACATAGACAAATATATGTATATCTATATAAGAGATGGCAAATTATTACAAGAGTATATTACACCTAATCTACAGTCTTTACTGCATGCCAGCGAACTCGACATTTATTTCCCGACGACATTTACATATTTTTAGAAAAAAAAAATGATATATAAAAAAATGAATTATACATTTTTATTTTTTTTTTCACTTCTTTGTATTGTTAAATTTTTATTACAGTAAAATACTATTATTAAAAGTACAAAGGTAATTAAAAGATAAGTATAATTTTTTCTAAACGTTTCGTTTGACTTAATCATTGTTATTCAATGTACAGAAATAATATAAAACTCGTCTGACTAAAACGCTTTTTACTACTGATTTTTTTTTATAATTAGAATAAAAATTAAAAACGCAACGTCTGACGTAAAATGACTTTTACTACTGTTTGGCTAAACCGATATTTTGGTAATGATAAAATAATTTACATAAAATTAAATATTTGTCTGACTTGTACATTGTTATACTATTGATATCAGAATAAGTGAAATTCAACCCGTTTTTGTCTGATTAAATTTTACGTTTACTATTGTAAATATCAAAAATTTTGATAATTTGTCTGACTTAACATGTATTTTACTACTGCTAAAAAACTTTAATGGACAATTAACTCGTCTGACTATAACTGGTACTTACTACTTGTAAAAATTTTTACTATACTGAAACTAAAAAACATAAATTAAAACCGTATTGTCTGACTAAAACTATATTAAACTACTGAATACCAGAAACAGTAGAAGTTATACCATTTTGTCTGACTAAATCTATCTTTTTCTACTGATAATACAATTGTAGGAAAATTGGTACATTGAAAAAAATTTTATTTGATTTAAAAAGTCGTTTACTTGATTATTGCCAAATAAATATTTACTTAAACCAAATAATTTTTATTTGAATCAAATAAATTTTTGTTTTCAGTATAGGGAATATTTATTAGTACCAAATAAATTTTTGTTTTCAGTGTAGGAAAGATTTAAAAGTATCAAATAAATTTTTGTCTTCAGTGTAGGAAATAAAATAAATTTTTGTTTTCAGTATAGAAAATATTTATTAGTATCAAATAATTTTTATTTCAATTAAATAAATTGTACATTAGTTTCTGTTTTTGAAACAAATATTATTTATTTGACTCAAATAATTAAATATTTATTTGATAATACACGGAAAAAATTTTTTACCTAGAACATCGATAAGTTTCACTAGAATAGCGATATGTTTCACTAAAACAGAGAAAGTTTTCGTTATTCTAGATAAACATATCGCTGCTTAAGATATAGATTTTTTTCCGAGTAGTCAAGAGAGAGAGAGAGATTATTATTTAAAAATCTAAATAATTTTTTTTTCTTGACAATATTCTATTGTTTTATAAAATACAATATCTGAAAACTTAAAATATATAATAGAATCATCATGCGTGGAAGCAACAGAGCGTTTACAGGAAACACAACCTTTCCCCTCCCTCGCCTCTGAACTATCACCTGAAACTTAAGACTATAATCCTGTCCGATCCAAACTTTCCATCAAAATACGACAACTTTCGAGCTTACGCTGACATGCGGGAGGTAGATGGAACTCAAACAGACAACATCGTAATATATATATATATATATAC